CCTAACCCTAACCCTAACCCTAACCCTAACCCTAACCCTAACCCTAACCCTAACCCTAACCCTAACCCTAACCCTAACCCTAACCCTAACCCTAACCCTAACCCTAACCCTAACCCTAACCCTAACCCTAACCCTAACCCTAACCCTAACCCTAAGTAGGGAGGGAAACAGCCCAATTGAGAAACCTAGAGGGGAGAAATATCCAAGACTTGGACTACTCTATTTACTCCATCCACAACCACGTTTTAAATGCTCGCGAATCCTTATCCGCGGGCGCTGTCTCTTGCGTCTTCTTTCTTCCGTACAATCCCCAAGCCATATGCCTCGTAGGGTTCGCAGCTAAGCGCTCAAAGTTCTTTACAGTCTCCGAATCATTACCCTCGACAGTCCTTGCATGCTCCAACGCCATTCGAATCAACTCCCCCGCTCTCGCCTTATCATCAGTCGCAGCCATCATCTGGAAGGCATCATAGTAGGCGCGATACACCTGGCTGTTGTACGTACCCTCATCGTCGAGTAGCGACAGCATCCTGCGCACCATCCCAAGTCCAAGTTTGACGTTGCTTCCCGCGCTGAGAATAGCCTGATCCAGTCTATGGATGGTGGCAAGCCTCTCATCGCTGGCCCTACGTTGATCGGGTGGCAATGAGCACAACTCGCATGCGCAGTCAAAGTTGAACTTGATCTTGAGAATGGACTGACGCTCGACATACGCCGCGAAGTGTCCAATGTAAGAGATGGTGATCTCCTCTCCTTTTTTGATGTCACGGACAGCATGGATGGTCTCGCGGCTGATGCGTGAATTCCAGCTATTCTGCGTGTTTGGGTTGCAAGCGTGGTTGATACGTGATGCTTCAATGAACAGGCCACCACCGACGGGCGGCGAGCCGAGGCCGAGCATGTTCGTCTTGCAGATGGCGAGGAAAGGGCTGAACGTGGTCCCGTGACAGTTGTGCAGACTGAGGAAGGCACGTTGCTGATCTTTATCGAGTGTCTTGAGTTTCTCAGTAAGGTGCTTCTCGACGACTTGGTTGCCTCTTTCCATAACGTTGGTCGGCACAATGAAGAGTGGCTTTTCAGCCATGATGCGCGTGCCTTTGGCGATGTCTTGGGTTGCGATGACGCCGGTACCCTTGTTGGGAATTGGGACGATGTCGTAAAGTCTTTGCTGGTTGTTCGCCGTCATCGTGTGTGCTTCTTGAACGAATTGAGGGAGGAAGGCTTGCGGATCAATGTGAAGAAATGAAGAAAGTTGTCTCTTTGGTTCCGTCAGAGGTGAGTTGGGTGTGCTTTCTTACCTCTATATATCCTGCTTTGTTTATGACCGATGACCCCAAGTTGTTGCCTTGACGGAGGAGGACCTAACCCAACAAACTACCCTACTATGCATATTAGAACTCAAATGTCAGTCTTCCATGTCTATTTGTGGTCATCGATACAGGACTCAGGTGGTTTGCCAACAGCTTTGGGCCTCTCGCAGAGACCAGGGCGACCAATCTTATCACTTTGTCGTTTTTCTCATGGGCCTCCAACGTCAATGTCCGGCAAGCAGCATTGTCAGCGTGTGAGGACCCGGGACAGCGAATAAACGGGAAGTTGCAGTTAACTCACTTGAGTTGGAAAACTCTCACCGGCTTGATATCATCGCCAGACGAAGTGTCATGGAATACACTCGCAGATGTTTCAAGTTCGCACGTCAATGCTCCAGCACGACGGGTCCCGCTCCCCGAAACACCATACGGAGATTGCTCTGATCGTCTCCCTGGATTCTCAGTGAAGACAACGTCGAAGACACTTCAGGGACACAATATCACTTGGGCTGCTGCGGTCTCCGAAGACAAAGTCTGATGCTAGGATCAAATGTTAGTGATGCGCCTTGGGGTCAAGTCAAACCGACCTATCCTCCTCCACTTCAGCATACTCGCTGTACAACACATATTGCTTCACTCCAGTCCTGGTCATCATCGATCGCATGGCGCAAAAATGGCAGCCGGCGGCACTGGATTGTCTCAATTGCCCCTTGTCCACAGGCTGTGCAAGAAGGTCGCCTTCAGGGATGGGAATAGCAAGTCGGACGGCACTTCCTTTTCAAAACCGGATACATACCTAGGTACCTCTACTTGATTGCTCTTGTTTCCTTGTTGGATTGGCTGGCTGCCTTGGGTGAGGACGGGAGATCTCCGAGGAGCAACTTAGGTAATGCCTGTTTTGCAATTTGCACTAGTCACCCCCCTAAAGCAAACTCAGCTACAGTACATTTACAGCGGCTTTACACAACCTCGCCTCGGAAACCCCCTCCCTCCACCCCCGCAACGACCCTACTCCTCCCCACTACCAACCCCCACCGGTCCCTCCATTCCCCTCCTCCTCCACATCCCAATCCCTTTCGACCCTCCACGCATCATTCAACCCATTTCCATTTCCCTTGTCCTTCCCAGCCGCCCACTTCTTCGCGAGATCACACCCACGATGTCCCCATTTCTGCGAATATACCGCCCGTCCTGTCTCGATCCACATCTCCACGCCGGTTCCGAAACCCTCTGCGTCCCGATAAAACGGCTCTCCTTGTCCTCCCTGCTGCTTCATCTGCCAGCTCTTGGTCCGCCCTTCGTAACCGTTGCCGCGGGCATACTTAGCACGTTCCATACGACAGGCCGTCGACAACAAATTGGCGTGCGTTTCAGCTTCCGTAATCTCGGATGTGTCTTTCGTCATCACCGCTGCTGCTGAAGTGGCTTCCGCTTTCTGGTTCCGGGCCGGGGGGTCAGGATCGCCGGGGAAGGAAGCTTTGATACCCGGGATACGGAACAGCGCGCCGATGTCGTCGAGAACAGTGCTCACGTCCAGGATGTGCCCTGCCTCTGTTGCTGGTGCTGTGGACTCGTTCTGTGTGTAGCCCGCCCACATCAATCGTGTGTACATGTCGCAGTTGGTACCGTAGAAGGGAATGTGCGTGTCCCAGCCGCCAACGGAGAGGATCGCATCCCGGTGGACGAGGGTGAGATGGTCGTAGGAAAAGAAGTGATGAGCCCACTTGGGATGGGAAGGGTCGCGGTATTGGCGGAGGGTATGGAGGGCATTGGCGTAAAGAGAGCGGTATATGTATTCCTCGGGCTCGTTGTTCTCGAACGTATTGCTGGACTTGTCGGGCTTGGCAGCGGCAGCTGGAGAGTACGACGGGCGTCGATGCTCGTAAGAGAAGACGATCAGGTCTTGATGTGACCAAAAGTATTCGGTCCAGCCGCGTTGGAGGGCAGTCCTGTGCCCATGTCACTGATCAGCAGTCGTTGCGATCGGAGGGAAAATGGGGGAACTAACCAAGCAAAGAAGTTCTGCAACTGCGCAAATGTTAACAGCGTCGGAGTCTGCAATCCAGTAAGTCAGCCAGTATCCATGTCATTCTTTCGTCCCTTGTCTATCCCCTCTTCCCATCTCCTCGGCTCTCCTTTTGCTCCTCCTACACGCACGCATCTCAATCCCTCAACGCACACCGCCCGTGTCCACGACCCTCTATCGTTTCTCGTACCCGTAAGGACTAGAATCGCCTTCTGCCCAGGCGAAACGGGTACGTCCCCAGTCTCATCCTTTATATCCGTCCCTGGGGTTAAGCCAAAGCCGGAGCCAGCATTAGAAACGGCACCTACGGAAATCACGGTCACTCCAAGCATCCCCAACTGTGTCGAGTTCATAAAGAACGGATTTTGCAGACCCAACAACCCCCGCTCATTGGCGTCCATCGTCCCCGTGTTCTCGATAACATAGATCTCTTCCGCCGGCCAGCCTGCTGCAATGTAGCTGGACACACATTGCAATAGCAGCGGCCAGTTGCGAGTGAACCCGATTAGCAGCGGTGCCACGCCGGTCGGGTTGAGGCTGGAGTGGTAAGAGGACGAGGCGGGAGGATCGAGGCGACGGCCAAAAGACTTGCTGCCGAAGCGGGAGAAGTAAGACCTCGAGGGCTGCTGGGTGAGTTCCTGGGATCGAGAAGGGTGGAGGTGGCGAAAGTGCGAGGGGCGGTTGATCTCAGGTGCCTGTAGAAGCCTTTTCAGTTTGCGAGGCGTCAAGTCGGAAGAGAGGAGGGGGAAAGGGTCAATAATTGGAGGAGACAGAGGAGTGGGAGGGAGGAAGACAGGCGGAGACACGGAGGCAATTTCCGCTTCGTTCCAGGTAAAAAAGTCCTCTTGGAGCTTTGTTTGGGGGACGACGGGCCGGTGGACATCTCTGGCGCCGTATGGCGGGAGATGTGTCATGCTGGAAATATGAGACACGGGGGCGTTATCTGAGGAAGCATTGGGCGGATTTGACAGGTTGGACGACCAGCTGATGAGGCAGACAGAAAAGAGGAAATGGGCGGTGGTAAGGACAAAACAAGCAAGGAAGAGGCGGTAGCAGATACGGGTGGGAAAGTGCGAAAGTCTCGCGAGATTGATGATTGTTCGTGCCATTTTGGGCTGGGAAGGTATCAGGAGGGCAGGACAGAACGGGATGGGATGGGATGATCCGTGCTGTGTTGGTGTCGAGGAAGACGGAAAAGGGGAGCAGCAGATAATCAAGGCGATGGATACCTAGCCAAAGTTCGATGACTGGGCAAGGAAAAGATGTAAACATCGCAGCTGCTATTGCAGACACGACCCACAGAATCAGATAGCGCCAATATGTCAACATGTGCCGGTTTGGTCCAGATCGAAGAGGGAGGCTGCAGCGCCCCTGTGCAGGAACCTGGAAATCCAGCATTATCTGCAATTGGAAACAACTAGACCTAGCACTCAATGCAAAAAGCTTGGAACTGGTCACGCTGAGATTGATGTTCAAATCGCCTTCATCGCTATCTATTTCAACATTAAACTTGGTAGGCCTCGCCGATGCGCCTCAGAGGGCTGCTTAAAGGCATTTTCCCCGCGCGCTTCTCCGCCTCTGGGCTCACCCTTCTCCCGTCTTTTGAGTCTGCTATGCCAGCAGTCGCCTCCAAAGGCCCAAGGTACGAGATTGATCTTCTCATCCTATCAAAGTAAAGGCGGACAAAGTCTATTGTACAGGAAGCGGAGTAGGAACATATTGTACAAGCGGTGGTGCGAGCTAGCATTGGAAAGAGATAAAGTAAACAAAGGGAAAGTGTACCTAGACATGCATTGCTCGTCCATCGACAAGGAGCACCAAGATGCAAACATCCAACAAAAACCAAGACGTGCTTTAGTGTTCCGCCCCCCAGAGGCTCCCACTCCTAGAAGGACCATCCGTTTCATTCCGTGTAGACCAGTCCGTGCGTGAATGATAGTAGAAAGATGAAGGAGATTATGAATGATGAAGCGTGTAATGCAGAGCATGATGATGACGATGATAGAAGATAGAAGTTCGGAGTGAAATGTCCCTCTACATAGGTATCCTGAAGTGCAGACGTGATGAACAAAAAAGAGAGAAAACAAAAGAACGCAACCACCCTCCTTGAGCGCCCAATGCCATAAGTTATGTTATCCTAAACCAAAAGAAATGAAGCCGTGTTAGTTTGACAGCATGAGCTGTATGAGCACGGGTATTGGGTTCGTCCTTCAGATAGAGCCTTCTTCCCGGCGGTCACGAAGCGGATGACGAGGCGGACGTGGCGGACAAGGCTGACAATGATCCCACCCGAGAAAATGCTCATCATACCCAACGGTGGCAGACGCAAGACACTATTCCTCATCCAGTGCCCCCATCTTTCCATCCCCCTTTCCACTCTTCTTCATGTTTCCCAACTTCAGCATGCTCAGCCTTTTCTTGACACTCGCACTGCCGTTGTGGAACTTGTCTTTAAGCTCCTTCAAGTCTCTGTCCTCCTCCTTGTCCTCCTTATCTTTCTTGCTCTTCTTTTCCTTCTTCCCATATCCACTAACAGACACACCATTCAGCGCCGCTGCCGCCGCTCCGCGTTCCCTTTCTCGGTCAAGCTGGTCGGATTGCGATTGCAAGGGTGAATCCAAGTTGGGCTGAGAAATAGAAGGGGATGAGTACTCCGTCTGCCAGTCCGTATTTCCACCAACACTGTCAGCCACGCCGTTGATAGCGTTAATGAGGTGAACCTTATCGGAAGAGCTGAAACCGCGAAGGAAGGAGCGGCGGTTCGCCTTCCCTATCGACCCGTACCCTTCTTGTGTGTTGTCGGTTGGCTGTTGCTGCTGCTCCTTCCTGCTTTGAATTACATTGCTAGGGGCAGAGGGGCTTCGGTCGCCATTGGTGGTGGGCGTGTTCATCACCGTTGCTGATGCTGATCCAGTGTGCATGTCCTCGTGAGATTTGGACCTGCTGGCGAGGTTGTGCTCGCTACCGTTCAGTAGGTGGGGAATAGAACCGGTTGACGATAGCTGATGAGCCGTGGAGGAGTTCCCATCCTTCCTCCTTCCTCCCAAGAAACTCAGCCTTGCACCACGTCCTTGTCGTAGGGAAACGGGTTGGGAAATTCCGGTGCTGACCACAATTTCGCCTAGAACATCTGTTGTTTCGCTTGCGGTGTGAGCATGGCCTTGAGCGTTTGAGGAGATGCCGAGACCGTGGCCATTTGCCAAAGAGGCAGTGGCGGATAGGTGGTGTTTGTGCTGGCCGGTTGCGGAATTGAAAGCTGAAGGCCCCGGTGATCGTGGCCAGGTTGGCGAGGGTGTGATACCGCCGGTGCGTTCGCTGCCGGGAGAGGGATGGGGAGCGCGGGCGGGTGGTGGTGTGAAGATTGCGATTTCGGGGGCGAATGTTCGTTCGAAGACTGTCTGGGTTAGCGCCACATCGTCCAGCACAATGGTAACACAGGGGGACTTACACTTCTGCAAATCTTGCCCATGTTTTCTCACCATCTCCCTAGGGCTCTTCGCAAAGGTTGCCAAACACCTCTTGATCATAATCGCATGATCCACCAACGCCATCTTGATGGCGTTCTCTTGGGCATCAATCTCTGGGGGGGCGTCTTCCTCGTCCTCATCCTCATCACTCCCGCATCTTATTGTGATTGGCGTCGTGCTCGCCATTCCAGGAATCAGCTCTCGGTACCTACTCACACTCGCTTCGCTCTCCGGATTTACACTGATGCTGACCGCATCGACCAACAACATCACGGTAGCCTCATCACTTCCCTCACCCCCTTGCGCCTGTCCTTCTGCTACCTTCTTCTCAACAGCCGTCATCTCTCCCGTTTTTCTCACGATCCTCTCCAGGGCCGTCTCCTTTGCTGTCAACCTCACATGCTTGATTTCAACGATCTCGCTCCGTTTGAGTATGGTTGGGAAAGGTTCGGCGGTGGTGTAGAGGGTCTTCTCAGCGTAATGATCCCTTACATCCCCGTTGGTGTCTCTCTTTGTGCTGACGCTAAACGTTTGAGGACTGGAAGAGATAAGATAGTCGCGGATGATTTGTGGAACGCGAGCGCGCTGGAAGACGGTATGCGTGAGGTCACGGTGGGGGGAAATGGCTGATATGATTAGGAACTGGCCTTCAACGTCGTACTCTGCAGTGTCACGGTCATAAGAAGGGGTGATGATCTGCGCAGAGGGATACATCTCCTGCATGCGATCGGTGAATCCAGCCGTGCGTTCGGTAGGGGATGCGCCCTCGAAGACGAAAGCCTTGTCGCGTACGGAAGGAGGGAAGCCGAGACCCTTGTAGACGACTTTGAAGTACTTGGGTATGAGCTTGTCGGTCTTGTGTGCGATGGTCTCGTAAATGGTGGCAATGGCCCGTTGCGTGCGGGCGAGCTTAGCGAAGTCGAATATGTTGGACTCGTACTGGGCTTGGAGCTCTTTGTACGCAGCGAGCGCGCAGGACCAGGCGTGCCCGTCTTCGAAGTGCCTGATCATGTCGAAGTAGATGCGCTCCTTGCGCTCAAAATGGGATTGCGCTGGAAAGCAAGGGTCGTCGAGGGCGGGTGTGGTTTTGAGAGGGTCCCAGTCGTAGAGGTCTGCGTGTAGGCGTAGAGCGAGCCCAGCTTCGGTGTAGTTCCGGGCCGAAGCTTGGAGGCTGGCGAGCTGGTGGACGTAGCGAATGAAGATTTCCTCCTTTTGCATGTCGCGAAGGAACTCCATGAGACGGAGGCGGTGAACGAGGTTGGAGGTTTCACCTGAACCGTCACCGCCGTGGACGGCAACCAGCAAATCGAGGAACTCGTCGACTGTGCCCATCAGCTTACGGATGGCAGTGTACAATGGCTCGTCTGGGATCTTGGAGAGGGGTTCAAAGCGGTCCAGAAGCTCGCTCACAAACAGCTTCTGGAGGATACTCTCTGTCAATGGCTTTTCCTTAAAGTAGCCATCAAGACAGTCGATGATCTCCATCTGAATGACTGACAAATCCTCGCTCAGGGTCCACTCGCTGACGATCATGGTCTGCAGAACCTCTACAGCCATCCTCCGGAGACCCTCGTGGACACTAAGACAGAGCTCAACAATGGGCCCAACAAGCGTAGGCACATACTGCACCTGATAACCGCCCATCTTAGACAGCCCATACCGTGCCCTCTCCTCCAGGCTTGTCTCCCATCCAATAGCCTCCCACGTTTTCCTCAGCAGATCGGCTCCATGCTCTCTGACATCGCCTGCAATCTTCCAGACCGCTCTTCTCTTTTGCTCCGGGAACGTCTCCAACGCCAGCGAGGGGCTCCCCACCAGCTTGAGCAGTGTAGTGAAGAACATCTTCCACAGCTCGGTATCAAAGTTCTCGGCCTCATCCGGATGCGGGAGGAAGGACTCGAGCAACAAAGTGGCAAGATATTGCAGCATCCGCATGGTCGACTTGTGATGGAAGATGTGCACGCTGAGCCAGTTGGGGGGGAAGGTCTCGCCTTGCAGAATGCTCATGAGTACGCGGAGGCAGCTTTCGACAAGGATGTTGAGATCGTCTTCCGCCAGCTCCAGTTGCATGCCGCTGGGGGAGTTGGACAGCGCTGACAGGACAGCAGAGAGCTCGATGAGGGCTTCGTCAAAGACCACCTCTTCGGCAGTCGGCTTGGCGGGGAATGGGTATGATGTGGGGAACAGAAGCGACAAACGGTTTTTGGGCGTCTTCTCGGCAGCCTGGATGGCGAGGTAAGACTGGATAATTTTGGGGATATAATCTGGGATCTCCGGTCCGAGATGCTCGACCTGGCTGGCAAGCACTGAGCAGCACAGCCGCACCTGTTCTCTCCATTGCTCCGTCACCTCATCGGTATGCCCCCAGTGCGGTGCGATCCACCTCACGGTATTAGCGCTCAAGGCGGACCGCTGCTCTGGGTGCGAAAAGATGTCGAGCTTGGAGT